TTTCATCTTAATATCACCTTATTATTCAAGTGAAGAACCACTGCCAGTTGACAATACTGAGCTAGGTGGACCAGTATAATGCAGCTTCTTGCATAGAAGAAGCCCCATTGGGGGGCCCTAAGGACCTAATAAGACCCGAGGTCTCATTTTTGACACTCCTGCAGTACGTAGTTCATATTCTGTAGCCCTAAGGTGGCTGCAGTGTTTCATGCAGAAGAGTAATGTTTCTTGCGCATTCATTTTAATGGTTTGATGACAAATTGCCTGGATTCCTCCAATGCCATATGCACCTATTGATTAAGCTTAATTCGAATGCCCTCCCAGACTTCGAGTGTGCAAGCCATCAAGGCTCATTGGAAATAATTCAGCTGACAATTTCAAGATTAATGGCTCTGCTCCTTCTTTTTCAGAATGTTTTAGCATTTTTAACAGATGACTGTCCCAAAATATTCAATATGGTAACCTTGGGAAGCTGAATCGTTGCACCCATACAGCATTAGAAACCCTAAATAGCTGGAAATTAAATTGCTGTGCATATTAAACACAGAGTGTGTGTTTTAAAAGACGAATGTGATTGCCATAGGATGTGGTTTTATTGGTGGAAACTTTTCCTGGAGTTCTGTTAAAATGGAATTGTAATTAATTATTGTGATTTTTTTATTTTATATGTGATTGTAAATGCTGTTGGGTCTTTGTTTTTTTTTAATGCAAACCATTTAGAGCTTTGGGAAAGCAAATGCCTGAAATAAATGCAAAAGTTTCAGCTCATATTCATGGGCTTCTCGGAGATTTTTTGATGGGCTTTATGTGTGATCATTCACAATTATTGATTCTCACAAACAGTGGTGGCTGCTGGTGCCCATTGAAACCAACAGGGCAGAAAGCAGGAGGCCCACAGTAGGTGGAGCCAGAGTCACAGAGGCAACAAAGTCTATGTTTACCCAGCTACTCCCACTGAGTTCTACATAGGCTAAGGGAGGAAGAAGCTTGCAGATAGTGCTAACCCCTGGACTGTTCATAAGTAAGAAGGCAGGCAGGCATGGGGCTGGTTGAGGGCAGATTGAGGCTGGTCGGGCAGTGCCCCATTTGTCCTAATGGCTCAGACTCCACTGCCTTAATACAGTCCTTCTTTTGGATATATATTAAAGTATTTTACTTATCCTGTCTTGACTTTCTGAGCCCCTGTAGCAAGGGAACCTGGGAGTAGCAAGTAGAGCATGCTTTCTGTAAATTGTGTTAGAGATGTACCGAGTTCAGAGCGTTCAAATGTTAATTTCCTTGCAGACATGTGGTGTTTTTTCGGAACATGGCTCAAGGTTTACTTTAATATGTCCTTACAGCATTTGCGTAAAATCCACTCTCACCACATTCTGAATAAAGATTCATAAAGGCGTCTCCCATGGAATGAAAGTGGATGTGGATAAATTGGATGTTTCTTAATGCGTAGCTGTTCTTTATATTTGGCGATACCTACTTATATTGGCATGACTACGAAGGGAAAGATAGGTTTTACTCTGGAGTTCTGCCAGCTGCGACAGAAACAGGATGTTTGTTACAGTTTGCGTCTCTTCTACATATGGCAATATATGTTTAAACAAGGCTGTACATTCCAACATCTTCCATTTTCAAAAAACAAAACACCACAACAGGCTAATGTCTTGGCTATTTATCACTTGGCTAAGTGCTTTGCAACAACAGTACCGAAAGTGCCCAGCTTCTGCTGTCTGCATTTCAGCAACATAATGTTTCCTTTCATTTGAGAGAGTTAGTGGATGGGAATATTGGTTTATTTGCTTTCAGCATGTATATCCCACCATTCACCACAAAGTCGCAGGTCATCACTCTTTGTAAGGCAGGGTCACCTCAAAAACCACATTGCAGAGCTGGAAAAGGTTTGGAAAAGGGCAACGAAAATGTTCAAGGGGATGGCCTCGGCCCAGTATACCTGAAGGAGAATCTCCACCCCCATCATTCAGCCCTGAAACTGAGGTCTAGCTCCGAGGGCCTTCTGGCGGTTCCCTCATTCCAAGAAGTGAGGTTACAGGGAACCAGGCAGAGGGCCTTCTCGGTAGTGGCGCCAGCCCTGTGGAACGCCCTCCCATCAGATGTCAAGGAAATAAACAACCATATGACTTTTAGAAGACACCTGAAGGCAGCCCTGTTTAGGGAAGTTTTTAATGTTTGATGCTTTATCGTGTTTTTAATATTCTGTTGGGAGCCGCCCAGAGAGGCTGGGGAAACCTAGCCAGATGAGCGTGGTATAAATTATTATTATTATTATTATTATTATTATTATTATTATTATTATTTATTATATGACTCCCCTATGACTGCAGCATTTGCCATTTTTAGTTTACAGAAAAGGCACATAAGAGGTGCTATGATAGAAGTTTATAAAATTATTTATGTCATGGAGAAAGTTGTATGTATGTGTAAACAAGCCATAAATAATAAAGACACCACAGTGTCCACTGTTGCCCATTCTGAGGAAACCAAGCCCTTGGTAAGCGCCTGGAGCCCTTGGAGATTGGGGTTGCGTGCAACAAGATTATTGTTATTCGGTGCAAGCATCAATGCAATCTCAGAAGGGTATTGGGAGGGCTCTGGTTCATTCCAACATGAAAAAGAAACAGTGTCCATGCCACAAAAGATTCATTGCATATTTTATCTCATACGTACAGGTGTTGAAGACTCCAGCAAAGACCCAGCACTGACCATACCGCACCGGTTCTTTAGAACTATGATATTCCAACAGAATTTCTACACTTCCAGTCCAAGAGGAGGGTGGCACTCCGTATTCATAAACGCTATTCCAGGAGCCATACACCACACCGTCATCATCTTTAGAATTGATCTGGAGGGAGAACAAGCCAGTGAGAGGCCCACCAGACGGGTGCTTTATTGAGAGTGCATTCTGCAACATGTTCCTGACACAGTAAAAGGTGCATTTATTCTGCTCTATTAGTTGTTCTGCAATGCTTCCCTAGCCCTGCCACAATATTGCTGTCTGGAAGAGCTACAGTGCAACAAAAGCAGGATAAAACAAATTAATAAACCAGCACATTTGTGGTAGAACAAGTTTTGGGATTTCATGAGGTAGTTACGGGATAAGCACTACTTGGAAACGAAGCAGTGGGCAGCACTACTGCAGGCACAAACAATATTGAAAACAGGATCGTGTCTGACTGCACAATCACCCACAAAAGGTATATCTGGAAGGGTCCTAAATTCACACAGAAAAGACATCCGTTAGGATTTGAACCTGAGTCACAAACCACACAGAAGAACCCCAGTTTATGCATTAACTACCACTCGTGCATAGTTATGTTTGACTGCAATTCCCCACACAAATAAGAGTTCTGGAGGTGGGGAGTCAAGGCTGCGTGTTGTGGGAGGAGGGTGCCCCTTAAGAATGCATTCTTACAGGTAGGATTATGTGAGAATGCATTCTCACATAATGGGATGATCCATAATGCATCATTCATAAACAGCCTTTAGACAAAGCTGTCATGGGCTTTGAAGACGCTTGAACTCAGGATGAGAGGGAGAAACGTTCAAAGAGAAAGGCATGTTTGGCAAACCCTCACCATGATCACCTCCCACCCGGAAAGCAATGGCCCCACTGCGGAAGGATGTGTGGCTCCAGAATTGGCCTCCACAGTCACTTACGGACTCACTGTTAAGACAATCTTACTCGGCTATGAGTGATCGCCAAAGAAGAGGAAGATACATAATGTGATTCTATCCTCAGATCACCTCCACTGCTCATTGGGTGAATGCCAGGTTGCCACAACAAATTGAGCTGCATTTTTCTTACAGGCTTGTGGCCTACAGCAGGCTATATTTACACACGTACAAGTTGTTCTAAGATCTGTATGAATGAGGAAAGCTACAAAAGGACTTTCTTCTGGTCACTAATGGCAAGTTTGAAGGAATGGTCTGATTTGAGTGAGCTGATATGGGGAAGCTGGGGATCTAGTAGTGACCATTCTTTGGGAAGGTACATGCGCCTGAAAAATTGGAGAGTATGAGGTTAGTGTGCCTTCAAAGCGCGAGCTTTCAAGCACACCCAAAACCCCTCAGCAACACCAAAATGGTTGTGTGATTCAGCTCCAAACTTATCAGCATTTAGTGGGAAACAAAATGTGTCCCAGAAAGCATTTGACCTGTTTTGCAAGAAAAAGAATAGAAAACTTCTCTTTGACCCCCTTGCAATTCCAAGGGTTTTGATATAATTTATCCTGAGTAAGCGGTGTATGTGTGTGTGGAAATAGGCTGTCTACCATGTGCCCATCATGAGAACAAGAAAGATTTTGCTTGTCTAACTTTGCTCGGGGTAAGGCTGTATGGAGTGAGAGTTTTGCTGACTAATGACTAAATGGATAGCTATTAGTGAGCAATACATTTCCTTCCAGCAATTTGAACCAAATCAGTGGAGGCTATGCGGAAAAGCTCCTTTTGCTCTGTACCTTGTAATTATGTTAATACCGAGTTGCTACATTCTTGCCAAATAAATCACGACTCTCATTGAAAAGCTTTTGGCTGGATTAAGTACTGGTTTCTAATTAGAAAATCGACTTCCTGTGAACCCTGAGATAAGCATTCAGCAGCAGACCTAAAGGGGTTTCAGGGCGAGACCCTGAGTGGCCGTCGCCAGGAAATAAAAAGGCACTAGGCAGGCTGGATGGAAGTATCATTCCGCTTTCCAAACCAGTGGAAAATCAACACACTGTGCCTGGCAAAAGGCAAATTTGGCAGACAAATTTGTGGCCCTGCAGATGTAGTGGACTGCAACTCCCATCATCCCTCACTGTTGGCCATCCTGGCAGGGGCTGGTGGGAGTTGGGGTTCATCAGCAAGTGAGCCAGAGGCTTGCCATCCTTGGACTAGAAAGGAGCTACAGAAACAACAACAACAACAACTGTATCCTGCCCATCTGACTGGGTTGCCCCTGCCACTCCGGGTGACTTCGAACAAACATAAAAGCACAGTAAGCAAATGGATAGCTCTATTGGTTAGAGCATGGTGCTGATAACACCAAGGTTGCAGGTTCGACTCCCTTAAGGAACGGCTGCATATTCCTGCATTGCAGGGAGCTGGACCAGATGACCCTCAGGGTCCCTTCCAACTATGTGATTCTATGAATAAAACATCAAACATTAAAAACTTCCCCATACAGGGTTGACTTCAGGTGCCTTCTAAAAGTTGTATAGTTGTATAGTTCTTTATGTCCTTGACATCTGGCAGGAGGGCGTTCCTCTGCCTGGTTCCCTGTAACTTGCAGAAAACCGCCCACAAACCACCACTCACGCCTGGAATAATAATTAAGAGCCTTCCAAATTAAACACCAAATCATCTACACCTTAGAATGCAAAAAATTAATATTTAGCACTTGTATGGTGTTTCCACGTGTTCAAAGGGTTTCACATAGCCCATCTTTAAAACAACCCTGTAAGGTTAAGTCTGTACAGTGGTACCTCAGGTTAAGAACTTAATTTGTTCTGGAGGTCCGTTCTTAATCTGAAACTGTTCTTAACCTGAGGTACCACTTTAGCTAATGGGGCCTCCCGCTGCCGCTGTGCGATTTCTGTTCTCATCCTGAAGCAAAGTTATTAACCTGAGGTACTGTTTCTGGGTTAATGGAGTCTGTAACCTGAAGCATCTGTAACCCGAGGTACCACTGTATAATTATCCCCTAAAGGTAAAGGTAAAGGGACCCCTGACCATTAGGTCCAGTCGTGACCAACTCTGGGGTTGCGGCGCTCATCTTGCTTTATTGGCCGAGGGAGCCGGCGTACAGCTTCTGGGTCATGTGGCCAGCATGACTAAGCTGCTTCTGGCGAACCAGAGCAGCGCACGGAAATGCCATTAACTTCCCGCCATAGCGGTACCTATTTATCTACTTGCACTTTGACGTGCTTTCGAACTGCTAGGTTGGCAGGACCATGACCAAACAACGGTAGCTCACACCGCTGCGGGGATTCAAACCGCCGACCTTCTGACTGGCAAGTCCTAGGCTCTGTGATTTAACCCACAGCACCACCTGCGTCCCATTATCCCCTTAGAATCCACTTAATATATTGCAGACTGAGAGAGAGAATGTTTTGCTTAAAGCCAGCCTAGTGTGCTCATGGCAGAGGTAGAGTGGCCATGTTATTTACAGATTAACAGTCCTCTAGTTGAAGGGATGTTCATAGAATCATAGAGTTGGAAGGGACCCACGGGTCATCTAGTCCAACCCCCTGCAATGCAGGAATCTCAGCTAAAGCATCTGTGACAGATGGCCATCCAACCTCTGATTAAAAACCTCCAAGGAAGGAGAGTGATAAAGAAGCAGAAGAGGAGAGCAGGGACTTTGACACAGGTCATCTGGTCACAGTCTTCCCCACAACAGTGAGACGTATTGTATTTCTACTTAAATTACAGAGATTCCCCCCCCCCCAAAAAATCTGCATATATACATACAAATTATCGTATGCAAATCTTTCTTTCACCCTTTCTTTTGGTGATGCACAAGTGGCCTACATATAGACAAAAGTCAACCTAAGGACCTCTTGATTAATAGCTCAGTCTCTTACACTATAACCGCACTTACTTGGAAGTAAACACCACTGAATGGAATTAGACTTACTTCTGAGTAGACATGATTAGGGTTGTAGTCTCTGTCGCTAGACTTTTTGGGGAACCTAACCCGCTTTTATTTTATTTTTTGAGACCCTATTATTTTAGACAGAACTGGATCTACCATGAGCCAGGGTGACACAGCTTGCCTCAGGGTGTAGATTTGAGAGGTGCTGATAAAAGGCATTACAGTATCAATTACCTAATTTATCTAAAACGAGCTAGGAGACAGTCCAAAGCTGTGGGTGAGCAAAATTTGGTTTTTTATTTTATATTTTTTATTATCAGCGGGGATGCTATTTGAATTGTCTGCCTCAAGCTCCAAAGCATTTCGGGCTATTTCTGATTTTTACCAGGACACACTCCCTCCCCGTTCCCTTCCCCTCTTTTTCTTTTTTTTTAAAGTCTAATTATCACTGTAGTCCTAATTTTAAAGAAAAGTCGATAAATTTCCTCTAGGCCAAAACACTGAGACATTAATGAAAGGGGAAAATCACTGTGTTGCATTCCAAAACTGCACTGCTGTCATGATCCTGGTGGCTTGAATTTACGGAATGCACTTCTCTCTAGCCTGTATCAAAATGTGCAGCATAGTCAGAGGTGTAGTGGTCTGAGATTTCGGGGTGGGGGCACAATGTTGTGCCTGTGGCATAGTGTGTGACGTCATGCACACAAAGTCCCAATGTGGCGCCAGGAGATCGGGAGGAGCCAGGAGGCAGAGCTGAACGTGGTGGCACCATACTTCCAATGGCCAGTGGCTCCTCCTCCTGCTGCTGCCGCCACGGGCTGGGCTTCTCCATGGCAGGAGGAGGAAGAGGAGAAGGAGCCGGTCACTTAAGCCACACCACATTCAGCCCTGTGCTTGGCCCTGATTCTTTTGAACACGGGGGACCCACTCCCCCCAAAAAATATTGGTAGGCCCGTTGGGAGTTGGCACCCCTGGCTCCTAGGTTGACTCGGGAGAAGACACCAAGGAGAAATTGTTCTGTATGCTCCAAATCTAAGCACTGAGGAACACTGAAAACAAGGGGCTTTAGTTTCAAGAAAATGGTGTGCAACTTCTGCTACATGGACTATGATATCGGAGCACTCCCAAGCATTTGGCCAGGCACATGCACAGAAAATAGTAAATCTAGCTGAAATGCATGGAGATCTGCACTGATTATTATTATTTTTTTGTAAGCCACCTATATTTGCCACTACACAACTGAGTACAACCACCAAAAATGAAATACTGGGCATTGACACCCTCATGTGTCAGTTTGCTGCCTTTCAGCAGGGCCGGATTTAGGTTTGAGGAGGCCCTAAGCTACTGAAGATGATGGGGCCCTTTATATGTCCAGCTGTCCTTTGTCAACAACAAATTGCCACTGTTTTTTTGTGTTGAATATATGCTATATGGTAATTTATGGACCTAATAGGTATCTAAAGCCATTTGCACATAACAAATAGGAGCCTACACAACACAAAACACTGTTGCTGTATGTAGGTTTTTGTTTTATTTGTTTTTTATCTTATATTTTGGAAATGTACACACTTTTTCCCCCTTTAATTTTTTTGGGGCCCCCAAGAGAGTGGTGCCCTAAGTTATAGCTTATATGTAAATCCGGCACTGCTTTTCAGTGGTACTCCATAATCTGTTGCTCTAGCCCAGCTGTTGAGCCAGCCCTGGGGCTTTAAAACTGAAGTGTGTGTGTGTGTGAGAGAGAGAGAGAGAGAGAGAGCGCAATTGAGATTGATGGGGGCATATTGACCTAAGCCAAGTAACAAGCAAATGGTTCATTAAACTCCACACATTGCATCCACTATATGTTCATTACGTACCACTGCAGAGCCAACGCGACTGATTTTGACCGGATTCCCTCGGCCTGAGAGATCCAGCTGTGCTCTGTCCATCAGGTATAGGCATGCATCCAAAACACCTTCTTCAAACTAAATAAAAGGGAGGAAAAAGAAAGAAACAGAGAATGGATTTAGTGCTCATTCTAGAAAACAAACAGGAAACAAATGCTCTTTGCTTCGAAAGAGGGAGTAGAATTCTTTTTTCAATTCCATGTAGGAAACACCAGTTTTCTTATACAGTATACAAATTATAACTTCAGCTGTGCCACTTCAGATCAAACCACCAAAAGATGTTTGATATAAATCTTTACACAAACAACAAACAATCCTTAGCCATTGAAACACCGCCTCTCTATGGCTTGAGGCACCTTACATTGATAATATAAAACCATAAAACTGCAATAAAAATTATCATTAAGCACCCCCCATTAATATACTACAAAACCAACATATCTCAGCAGCAGTAGTACAAAGCTTTAATTAAAAATTTCAGCAGCCAAAGGCCTTTCTGAAAAAGAGAGGGTGCAAGCTCTCCAAAAACTAGAAAGATGAAGATAATGACTAGCCATCATGAAGTCTACGTACTACTTCCACGATTAGAAGCAAGCTGCCTCTGAATACCAGTTCGCCGTCACTTCCTGTATTGTACATAACATGTACTCTACTCACAAGTGGTAGAGTTCATATGGGGAGAGACATGAATTGTAAAGGTGAAAATATATAAAAATTAAAGTGGGTGGGATTGTCCAGCTTAGACTTAAAGGTGGCTCCAGAGTATGTCACTGCTTTAAGCCATGGTTGCCACTGGTGCATGACAAGACAGGCATAGTGCTGTAGTTCAAAGGTGGTTTATGCAAGTCAGCTGCACATCAGACCCATGCAAACTCACAAGGGCAGGTTCTGGTTGTTTTACACAAGAGTCACATGGAGAATGCCCTTTTGGCTTCTTCCCTATATGCAGTTGTTCTGTTGAATAAGGTCAGACCACACCTGGAGTTCCGTGTCCAGTTCTGGGCACCACAGTTTAAGATGGATTTTGACAAGCTGGAATGTGTGCAGAGGAGGGCAACCAAGATGATGAAGGGTCTGGAAACCAAGCCTTTTGAGGAGCGGTTGAGGGAGTTGGGTATGTTTAGCCTGGGAAAGAGGAGGCTGAGATGAGATATGATAGCCATCTTCAACTATCTCAAGGACTGTCACATGGAAGAGGGAGGGAGCTTATTTTATCCTGCTCTGAAGGGAAGAACTTGAACCAATGGCTCATAGACCAAATGGAGCAAACAGCACGCAGACCTAGTGGTGGGAGGAAAAAATCCTTAAATAAGAGACACAGGGGAATGATTAATGGACTTCAATGTCTGTACACTAATGCGCAAAGCATGGGAAATAAACAAGATGAGCTTGAGCTCTTGGTACAGCAAACTAAATATGACATAATTGTCGGTTTGCAAGCCCCCTCCATAGAGGCTGGCCCCTCTCACTGTCCTCGGAGCTTGCATACCGGTAACCTCCTCTGGCTGATATCCAGACAGACCAGGGAGATTTTGATAGGCGACATTTTCCCAAGAGTGGGTAAAATGCACAACCCCTCCCTCCTGCTTCCGCAG